TCAAGAAAATTAATTTCATTTTGGCTTCCACAAATGTTCACTGCAATAAAGATTTACTTTGCCTTTAGTGAGTGCACATCTGAAGAACTGTATTAAGCTGTGATCATGACTGTTTCTATGTTGTTGATTCTGTTCTAATTGTCTAATTCAAAGTGTTTGGGGGCACTTAGTATGTGGAAATGTGACTTCTTGAGACTAGGCTAAGATACACTGAGATTTCAAATCACTATAGATGTTCCCAATTTCTCCATCTCACCAACTGGACCCTTAGAGATAACTCTTATAGAGGATGTCAGAATTTACGTAAAATGATTGTCCACTATACCTGTTACATAAATTGTACCCTGAAAATTCATTCTCTGGTCATTGTGTTGAATTCCTGGCTCCCTTGTTCCCAACTCTTTTCCACTTTTTTATTCTCTCATTTGGATGGAACTATTCCTCCAGTAGTTTCTTGAGAAGAGGGAAAAAATATTTAAGGTTTCTCATGTAATTTCAAGGTAGAAATAATTTCCCACCAGAATTTTGAAGATGTATTTACCTGTCTTATTTCTAGTGTTAAGAAATTTAATACCATTCAGATTTCCAATACCTAATATATAATCTCTTTTTTTCTCTCTCTGATAATATTTATGATCATTTGTTTACCTCTAAATTTCTGAAATTTCACAATAGTGTTTAGTGTTTCTTGGTGTGATCTACCTTTATTCTTTGTATTATTGCATACTCCATGGATTCTCTTCAATCTGAAAACTTAGTTCATTAGTTCTGGGAAATTATCTGATTTTTTTTTTGAAAATTTTGTCCCATCAATTATCTCTGAAATGCTCCATAGAAATGTGTTTCCAATGTGTGACCAATGAGTTTTCAAGTTGTAAGTAATTCTCTGGAATTACTTATTGTCTCTGATATCTTTTCTAAAGAGGTGACTCTAGAATAGTAAAAATTTGAAGCCAGAAAGAAAGAAAGACTTCCCACATAGAGCAGGAAATCTACCTCAACTTGCATTTGACCCGGATGCACTGGAGGCAGGAAATTTCCAACAGAGGGCCTCATTCAGGGCTTTCCTCCTCTGGAAGCCCTATCCAACATTTGCAGCATACCCAACACTACAAGGAAGGAAGGGAGGGAGAATTGATGACCCTCTCTTTTGTGTTAAATTTTCTGTGGTATTTGTGGCCATGCGAGGACTTACTAGCCTTGTTTACATGAGTTTCTACCATAAAACTGTAAGCTTCTTTAAGAAAGGTAGAATATATTATTTAGGTTTATATTCTCAATGTTTAGCAGAGCATCTGTGGTCCACTGGGCACTGAGTAAACACTTCTTGAATGAAGGATGATGATCAGACAGCGCTGCCAACTTGATTTCAGCCACAAGTCCCTCATTTGTACCATATTCCCACAGGCTATAGAATCAGCAATAGTGGTTATCACCAGGTCCTTCTTTCTTAGGGGCAATTGCCAGGCCAAAATGTAAGGTACGTGTTGATTTCAGCAGCAAGTTCATAGGAGAGCATGATATTTGATATCAGATATGTGTCAGTCATGATCAATAGAATGTATTCTTTTGATGTTGTTTTTTTCAGTACAATTGCAAATAATTTAAAAATAAATAATGCCGCCTGGCCGGGCGTGGCTCAGCGGTTGAGCGTCGACCTGGGATCCAGGGGATCAGGGTTCGATTCCCGGTCAGGGCACATGTCTGGTTGTGGGCTTGATCAATGACTCTCTCATCATTAATGTTTCTGTCTCTCTCTCTCCCTCTCCTTTCCTCTCTCTGAAATCAATAAAGACATATTTTTAAAAAATAAATAAAATAAAATAAAAATAAATAATGTACGCCATAAAATGCTTATTTTATGGAGTGTTAAGTGTTACAAAATTAGCCCAAACAATAAACTTGAAATCAGTTTGTGTCTAAACATATTATGCACTAATATCACAAGCAGTAAATTTGGACGTTTTACAATTATTTTTCAGAAATGTTACATAATTAGAGGTATATACAGTCTCCTGTAATATTAATACAGTGGTGTTTGAACACATGCATTAAGAAGCGAAAAATCCCCATGGAAATTCACTTCATAAAATCAACACCCTGGAATGACCTATACTTTTCCAGATCCTTCATCCAAATCCTCAGCAGCTGAGCTCATTCTGAATGGAACTGCATAAAAAGGATTACCAAAAAAAATGTAATAGAAATTTACAAAATAAGTAGTCAGTAGTTAGAAATATAATTTTAAATAATGCATCCTGATGAGGTGGTTTAGAGGGAAAGTTAAGACTTTTGCAAAGACTGCACAATCTTCCTTACAGGACGGATTCTAATCCATTCAGATGATTTAGAAAATGAGGTCAATATGCTGAGAAGTGATTTAAAATAATCCAGTGCACCCAGCCGGCATGGCTCAGTGGTTGAGCACCAACGTATAAACCTGGAGGTCATGGTTCTATTCCCGGCCAGGGCGCATGTCCAGGTTGTGGCTTGATCCCCAGTAGTGGGTGTGCAGGAGGCAGCCATGCGATGGCTCTCATCATGTTTCTCTCTCTCTCCCCCTCTCCCTTCCTCTTTAAAAATTAATAAAAACATTTTTTAAAAAAAAAAAAGGAAAGAAAGAAAATAATCCAGTGCTCCTTTCTACAAATATCCTGTTCAGTCTTTAGATCATGGAGGCAGAATTTAACCATCAATACTATAAATCAGAATTTAAATAGGAAGTGTGAATAAGAAAGCTTGTAGGGATAATTGTTTTTAATCTGTCAGATAGCAGGATATTATGGAATAAGTCCTCAAAACGCAGTGATGGTAGTCATAACAATAATCAGGACATTTGTCTAGAAAGTAAAGACACTATACTCACTGGAATAATTTGAAAATAACCAAAAAAACCTAGATTAGAAATTAAGACAGAAGGAGTTAATACTGTGTTGGATATAACTAATTTATAATCTCTCTTTGTAGCCAGATTGTCTCAGAACTTGTTGAACTGTCTTCCCTTCATGACATATAAGTACGTAGTTGCCAAGGTTGAGTAAAATAAGTTAATTACTATTATGGTAAGGTCTTACAAGCCAAATTTAATGTAATCTGTTCCCCAAGGGGTTAATAAAACTCTATTTCTTCTTAGGAAAAGACATGAAACCAGAATTCAGTCTCAACTTAAATGTAAATGTGGCTTAGGAATGAGACAGTAATACCACTTGGCATTTCTTAAGTTAGCCCTCTCTTTCTCCACTGGATAAAAATAAAGAAAAGAAAGCATCTAAAACAGAACCTTCCTATTACAACCCAAATTTGCCCATGAAAGCAAAATTTTTCTGACCTGCGTCTATGCGTTCTTTCCACTTTCTGTAGCCTCCCACACTATAATGACTTATGCATGGAATTCAGGGACTTTATATTTTCTTTTGAGTGCAGAATGAATGCCAACATGGAAAATGTGAGTGCTGACCATTTTCAAAGATGATCACAGACCTCTGAGGGAACCAAACAGTATCCAGAAAGACATTTGGTCAGTCTGGGGAACCAAATTCTAGTACATTCCTTAACTGTGCTGGTCTTCACAGGATGGGAATATTTACCTTTCTGGCATGTGCTCAGAGCTTAGTCAGAATAGCTTGAGATTTTTAGTGAGAAGTCAGTCCTTTTCAATAGCCTGAAGTGACCCAAAACCAGCATAGCAGTTCATCTTGTTTACGACTGAGCTCAATAAGTAAATTCGTGTTATGCGCTGGAAGTTCCTATGTGGAGAAAAAACTAGAAGTGTCTGCTCTTTGGATGGGATTTTTCTTTTACAGTCCATTAATTTGGTCTCATTATGGAACGACCTTTTATAAGGCTGAGTTTGCACTGCTATAATTTGTTTAACTAAGGGTTTGACTAATTCAAGGCAAAATGTATGGCTACCAGGAATGTGTTTATATTCTGGCCTTATCTTATGCCTGGTTTTCTTGTTTACTTAAATTTTTATGGCCAAATTCTAACAGAAGTATACAAACTAAACTTCATAGAAGCCAAAGAAATGAACTGAAATTTCTGAAGAATTACCCCAACTGTCTTAGCATGCTCACACCTTCGCTTTGGTTCCCCTGAATTCCTGCCTGAGAAGTTTAGATATGATACATACTAAAGATATGTGGAGGGAAGAGGTGGAGGTACGATTTCCTTCCACGGAGACAATGAAGTGTGTTGGCTGTTTCATCCTGGCCTTAGACCCAGGGCATAGTTTGAATCCTGGCTTACTTCCTAGATGTATCTATAACCTTGGGCAAGCTATTTAATTTATCTAAGCTTCAACAATATTAGCCAGCTAGCTAGTGGTAGCGGTAATAGAAAGCACGTAAATGTATTTATCCCGAGGCATTGTAAAAGGTATGTGTTACACTTTCTTATCCATGAATTATGTGCTAATATGAGCTAACCTGGATTATTTCATGTTTCTTAGTCACTCCCTGGAGTGAATACATCCTGATAGTTTGGGATCTGTATTAGCTCTTTTACACCCTAATACATTACAAACGCTGTCTCTATAGCTCAAGTTTTGCATGAACAGTTCCCTGGTGGCCTTTGTTGAAATTCAAACCAAACAGCAAATAGATTTCTATACAGACTTGTGCTCACAAAAGTAAATGAGGAAAGCATGTAAGCTAAAACAAGTTTCTTCTGGTGAATTTTATTAAGTATTGCAACCCAAATATTTCCTTAATGGAGTTTTCAATGTTCAATAGTTATATCTTTATTCATTAATAGATCAATCAATCCAGCTGCGTTTTAAAATATTGTCAATGATTCTTTTATCAGAAATATTCAATGTGAAATTTTCTTCTACTATTAAGCTGCTTCCTAAAGAAGTAACTTTATTAAAGGTATTAAACAGAAATTTTATAAACTCTCATACTTCATCTTTCTAGCACAGATTAAGTGCTGTCTTTCCAAAGGTATATTTTCATTTTATAATCATATCCTGAACTATATTTTTAAAAATTTTTTAATAGGTGGTGAAATGATAAAACTCACTCTCCCTTTAATCAGCGAATTTGAAGTAATCTTTCATCAAGTTCCATCTCCTTTTGTCTCATATGGAACATATATCTCTATCTGTTGTTAAACTACAATGACATGTCTGTAGCTATCAGAAAGAGAAGCTGGGAAGAACATGTGACCCAATGGATGGGACAGCCTTTTAGTTCTGATGATCATAACACAGCATGTCATCATGGACTAGTAGCTGACAGCTTGCAGGCAAGTATGGAAAAAGATGCAACTCTAAATGCGGACCGCAAAGAGAAGTGTGTTTCACTACCAGACTGCTGTCATGGATCAGAGCTGAGAGATTTTCCTGGGAGGCCAATGGGTCACATTTCAAAAGAAGTGGATGAAAATGACAGCCAGGAAGGTGAAGATCAGTTTCTTTCTCTGGAAGCCAGCACGGAAACACTAGTGCATGTTTCTGATGAGGATACCGATTCTGATCTATATATTACAGATGATAAACAGATTTTAACTTCCCAAGGGCATAAAACATCAGACCAACATAGCGTCCAAGGAGCAGGCTCCTTAATAAAGATGCTGCCTATCACGGAAAGAAACCAAGATTCTTACAACTCCTGGGGAGTGGCTGGTGGAGCTGATTTAGCACTAGTAGAAGAAAGAGGGGAGAGAAAAGTTATTGACATTATAAATAAAAGCCTGGAGCTTTGTACTGATATAAGCTTAAGTGAAATAAAAGATGCATCCCAAATACATGTATGTGACTCGCTGAATGTGAACGATATTGTGCCTGAGAAGCAATTGCTTAATTCTGCTGTAATTGCTCAGCAACGAAGGAAACCCGACTTCCCTAAAGAAGAACATGAAAGAAACACCTGCTGTGTAGGACAAGATGAGTTTTTTGCTATTCCTTGTGCAGAGAGAGGACTGCCATTATTAAAAGCAGATACTGGGAGCTGCCTTCTGCAGCCTCCTTCCTGCCCTAGTGGAATGTCAGCTGAAAATGGCCTGCAGAAGAGTGGTTTCTCAGAACATCAAAACAAAAGTCTCCCAGAGGTCAACTCAGGAGATGGCATGCAGTGTTTACACTTAAAGGAAACTCTGGCCACCCAGGAGCCCACAGATAATCAAGTCAGGCTTCGCAAAAGAAAGGTAAGACTCATGCACAGATTATCTAGCTTTTTGGAATTTTGTAAATATCCTTGTTTCCATCACTTATTATTTTGGTAGCATTAAAGCAATATGTACATGTTTCTTTTGCCCTGTAATGTAGCTGTGTGACTCAAAAAGTATCTTCTTGGGGAAACCATCAAAATATGTAAAAATTAAAATAACCTATGTATTTCACTAATAATATTTACAATGATTTATGAACATTCTGTGTTGAGACTGTGTTGAAGACAAGATTGGTTTCACTTTCTTCAGTTGGTATTAACTACTCACGAGAAAGCTCAATGTTCAAAGCTCATCTAAAGAGTGATCTCCAATTTTTTTTTTTAAAGTTAAGGTATTTTTAAAATTTAATAGCATTTATTTGGGCTTGTTTCATTTTTCCTTTGAAAAACATATTTTATCATAAGCAAAGTGGTGTAAATTATATATTAAAAATGACCCCTTTATATATATATATAAAGGCAATAGTTCCCCATCCCCCCAAAATATGCTGATACTATTTTAACTGATACCCTGGCACATTCATTATTGATAGATATATCAACTTTCTTTAACTCTTGACCAATAAGGGCCATATCTAAAATTAATTTTTATGCCAAGGCCCCTCTGACTAATCCTGTAGGTGCCATGCTCCCCTAACTAGTTTCCAAGTGAGGGAAACAAGGATTAAAGAGGAGCTATATGAAGCATGGGTTAGCTAATGAACTCTTGACCAACATTTGTATTGTATTTAGGATTTTTCCAAAACTCTTCCAAAAATGTAGTGCTCTATAACCATGATGTAAATTTAAATATACTTTCTTCTATAAATCCAATATGGCCATTGGCATTGAAAAAACAATGCAGATTGGACACTTCAGTGTAACATCTTTGCCCCTCTTTTGATATAATATTAACTCATGGTTGCAATTCTAACACAAAGCTAATATTCAACTAAACTTTCTACAATGAAGGGATAAAAAGCTCCAACTCTCTTTATGGCGAAGAAATCTGGTTTCCATAAACTGTGGTTTCACTAACAAACTAGATCAGTAACATGTCATAAGTCAGTTTAAATGAAGTCAAAGACTTTACAGCAAAGATCAATGTGCTCAAACTATATGCCAACAGAGCATTCTGTGCTTCTGGCAAACCCTTCCTTACATAAATTGTATCAAAATGCTAATGCTCCATAAAGTTGTTTAGATTGGAATGCTCAGGTCACCTTTTCAGAAATTTCCATATATCCCATCAAATCTGTTGGAGGGAATGCAATAATGACATAAAAAGTATTAACCGACCTATGACATAGCTCCCCTAAAATAAGACAAACCCTGCCCAACTGCCGACAGAAACATTAAACATTCCAGAAACATATGCTCACCACTTGGACATTTATATCAATACTAAGAATGCTGGAAAGAATTTGCTCTTGGACATGTCACTATAGCATGGTTGCATTATGAGAGCTGTAATTATATCTCATTTACAAGTTCTAACTTAAATATTCTATTTTAAGCATTTCATCATTCTGAAGTGCTATGGCATTGTCTGGTGGGACATTTGCTTTGACTCGACAACTCATTTGTGATGCCTTGTAATAAGCAGGTTTAATAAAAAAGTTTAGGTTTGGAATTTACTCTGGAAAAATATGGTTATAGGGGAAACCTCTAGAATCAAAATGTGTAGGAATTTTTGCTCTATTTGATACCGATGATTTGGTTAAAATACCTTTAAATTGGCAATTGGCCATTTTAGAACTTTGCCAAAGAAATAATAAAACAATTTCATGAAAATGTATGTACAGAGATGTTCATAATTATATGTTACTGACAAGAAAGAAAAATAAATTTCCACCAATAATGTTTAATAATTGTTTAGAATGATATGTATATGCTACAGTTAATAATATAATTTTATGTATAAACTACAGTACAGTTTGGAATGCTATACAACCATTAAGAAGATGGAGTAAGATCCATGTGCACTAACGAAATGATGTTCATGAAATAGTGTACCTGGAAAATGACAGTGGCAGGCCAATATGTATAGTATATCCAAACCTTATATGACAAAATGTAAGGATGCAGAGATAGGTGTAGATATAGATGATAGAGATGATGGAGATGGGAGATGAGAGATGAGAGAGAGAAAGAGAAAGAGAGAGAAAAAGAGAGATAGAAAGACAGAGAGATGATAGAGATATAGATATATATAGAGAGAGACAGAGAGATGATGATATATAGATACATAGATATATAGAGAGAGAGAGATTAGAGATAGAGATGAAAAGATGGAGATACAGACAACCTCTCTGTATGACTAAATATGAATGTGCCAGATCCTAGCTAAATAGGCACACAATTGTTAACAGCAGTTACTTTAAGATAATAGAATTAAAAGGGTAGAAGCAGAGGACTTTTACTTTTTACCCTATATAATTTTTATAAAAGGTCATAGAATTATGGGTGAAATGCATATAATTAACAGAAGTACGAAAAGAATATATGAGATATGTAAACTACTTGAAGTATTTTTTCAATGGCACAAAACAATCATATATCTAGTTATCACGATTCTTACTTTTATGAAATGGAAACAAATATTTATAAAGTTTTTCAAACTACCAACAACAGTTTGAATCAATACTCAATTCCTAATGCCAGTGCATCTAGTTTACAACAGATAAACCTTGTGGAGAGACAGGTGAGCCACATTTTCATGTCTAAGGTATCAGATGCCAGATTCAGAAAAGTTTGCTTAATTGTCTATATCTTTTAAACTATTTTTCAGCTATAGTTATGGTGACAGCTTTAAGATTAGAGCTTGGAAAGGTGAAATAGAATATGAGCTAATAAAATTTTAGTTAGAGAACTTTAATCAACTCATTATCTGGTGGTCATGTGAGTGAACCAAATCCTTCATTGAATTTATGGGCATGAGTTTTTTGGGTTGGTTTGTTTTTTGGTCAGGATATAATCAAGATTCTAAGACTTGAAAAACTGAAAACAAAAACAGAGGTTATAAGAGTGATCCTCAGAATGTACTGAAATACTACTCTATCTAGAGATACTGTCCTTTAGATATAAATTATCACTTTTTGAAACCTATAAATCCAGGCAGGCATTTATTGTATTGCATGATGTATTTTTTCCTTGTTTTCCAATGATATTTCTGGCCATCAAGGATAGCCACACATATATATTTTTAGGAGTTTCAATTGGAGAGGACTGCATTTATAGTATATGTAAATATTAGCCTTTAAAGCTAACAATTCCCCTAAATATGATGAACTATATCATTAAAGGAAAGCCACTGAAATCAAAAGAAAACCGAATAGATTACGAGCAGACATTAGAAATGAGCCAGCCAGAAGGGTGTGTGGCATAGGACCAGCGCTTATAGGGCGTGGGTGGGTCCTTGGGGTAAGGCAGCTGGTTAAGAGCAATTCTCAGAGACAAATTCCAAAGAAATCTGGAGGAGGGAGACAGTCTAAGAAGTGGTCTCTTTAAACCAAATGAGATGTGAAGATGGAAAATATGTAGGGAAGGACTTGAGGTTATACTTTTTTTAGAGAACTAGTGTATTTGTTCTTGATGGTGGTTTACTAATTAAAGAGAGTCCAACATTCGGTCTTCTCTAGAGGCTGTTTAAATAGTTCCCAAATTTCTGAATAACCATAATAGTGACATAAATGTATGAATATATTTTCATTTGCTCACATAAGACATAATCCATATTACAAAGCAAAATAAACTCCAAAAGATAATGCAAAAATGATCTTTGAGAAGACACCCAATTGCACATTTGAACAGAAAACTCACATTCCAACAATAAACTCAATTATATCATTTATGCTACAGATTTGACTGCCATCACAGAAAACCAGCATAAAAGTGGATTAAACACAATCTTTCTCTCACACATGCATAATAATTACATATAAACAGCTCTGGGTGAAGGCGTAGTCTCTGTTTTTTCAAAACTCCAGCCCCTGTTTATCGAACTGCTCTGCCACCTCGAGCCCTTATCCATATTGTGTGGGAAGAGGCAAGAGTGGGGGTGGCCACACTTCTGTTTGAAGGCAGGACCCAGAAGGTGCACACTTGTCTTCCTTTCATATTCCATGTGCTAGAACTTAGCTTCATGAACACACCCAGCACTAAGGGCTGAGAAACGGAGGCCGCATTCTGGGCAAGCAGATGTCTGCTAAAGACTCTCGTATTGAGGAGGAAGTAACTCATAACAAAAATATATTAATGAACAATACCCTAACATAAGCATATTCCAGTATACAGATTTGTGAAAGCAATAAACAGGCTGCATATGTGTTCTGTGGCATTCTGTATAAACATCTGATGCTTTAATTTCGCACTGTGGAATACCTTTCCACATCAGAAAGCTTTTGTTTGTTCAAGGGATGCTTATCAAATGGTACACTTTTTCTTGTGGAAAAACTGCCCAGGAGCAAAACATTATACTATATATACTGTATCTCTTCTCTGAACAAATGTAATACATTAATCAGCAATGACTGACAAAAATCAAATGTTTTCTTTCTACCCTATTTTTAAAATATGTGTAAATTTGGTAAAAGCACACCTGTATCTAAAAGGACCTTCTTGTTCCTTTCTATGACTGTCTTCTATCTCCTGAATGTCTATAGGTAGGCCATGTAGCATGGAGGGGTTAACAATGGCCAATGAGTAACACAAAGAATTTAGTAAATTATGCAGGAAATAGAATGGACCAAGAACAGAGGCCGGTAAAAGAATATAAAAGGGAAGAGAAAACTTGTCTAAGAAATAAAAACCAAAAAGATGGTTGACGCCCCAAGAAGGTCTGTTGAATGACAGCAAGGACTAGTGGAAGAGTTAGAGTTTGTTAATAAACCTGATATTAGTTGACAGAGGGAAGGAATGGAAAGCAGGGTAAGTATATAGAGGGTTTACAGATAAGTACAAGAAACAGAGTTTATTCTTGTATTATTATTACAGTTG